TTAGTGTGTAGTTTGTAAAATAATTTATACAATATCGTTTACAATATTGTATTAGTTCTGCTAATTTTGCACCTTCGGAACTTTAGCTCAACAAGTGAAACATCAAAATTTTGTAAATCTAGAGAGTACTATTATTTTGATAAAAGTATCAGTGTAATCGATTTACACTGGCACGTGGATAGTACGGGGACAAAATAGATAAAGGTATTGAATAGGAAAACATGATTCGTGGTCATAGGTAGTGTGACAGTGATTATCACTTATCATCACAATTAAATATTGAAAAAAAATTGGTTTTCCGCGTGGCTTATTGCGTATGATAGGTATAATTTATAAACAAAGATAAGGACGTGGTAGGTTAAAGGTATTATGTTTTTACTTTACAAATATGATAAATCTAACACAAAAAAAAGTCTCGGGGGGTCTATCCCTATCATCCCCCCATAACTACGCCACTGCAGTGGGGTCAGGGTATAGTGTTGACGGGGAGGACACAAGTTTAAAGGAATTTTTAAAACTGAAAGTGATAAAATCACTTTCGAATAAACGCTTCGATGCGAACAGTAGTAAGTATTTTCAAACTAGTAATGTCCAAACCACAGTACTGGGTGATTGGTTAACTATGGACCAGGCAATAACTTAGATGATATTACTTTTTTTTATAATTCTATTAGTTGAGACAAATTTAGTATTTTTTTTTAAATTAAAACTCCGTCCATTTTAAATCTTATAAACTTGAGTTTTTTAAATAGTAACGTAAATATTTAGTTAACGTTTTAAATTAAGAATAATTTGCTTAATATTTTGATTGGTCGAAAACCAGTTTTGGATAATTAGTGTAAGTTATTACGGTTTAAAATTAAGGATGGGAAGAAGGGTGGAGAGTAGAGATGTTTTTATCTGCGCGCATTACTCATTGTCTCATTTCGCGCTTTGTGGACATTTCGTGGCCCCTTCTCTACCCTGGCCTAACAACATGTGGTTTTTTCTTTTGGGGTCACTTAAAATCAAAAGTTTATCAACACAAGCCACGAACCCTTGATGAATTGAAGAACGATATCAAACAAGTGGTGAGAGTTCCGAGACAGATGCTGACCGACGCGATAGACTCGTTCGAGAGCGCCTGGATTCCTGCATATGACTGACATTATTTTCAGAACCTAAATTTTGTTACGTATAAAAAACTGCATTTTTTGATATAATACATTTTTTTACTGCAATTAATTTTGGTGTAGCATCATTTTGAAAAACATGCGTTTGTTCTGACGGACCCTTTATAAGTGTAGAAGCCCCTTAACAAATCACTTTTTATTAATGATTATCACTGCACCGGGCTATTCGAGTAAATACTCCCGTCGATTAAGTATCGAGTATCAAATTTATTACTATTGTAAATTATTTTTCAAAAAAAATGATTTAATAAAGTTTTATAAACCAAATTTGTGATTAGAACACTATAACTATTTATATAAATGAAAGTTGGAAATCCATAATACGGTCAATAGACCTCCTCGTTTGTTGGCTTTTGCAAAGTATTGTCGAACGAAAACTGATGTTGTTTAACAGACGGCAAAGATGGTGATTTAGATAGATCGCTCTTGTCATTGTTGAACAGGTATGGGCAAGCTTCGGTACATTGAGTTGAACACGTTGTCGTACAGCAACGGCTAGTTGTACAACATGGTGTTTCCGTGCAGCAAGGCGACTTGGTTGTGCAGCAAGGGGACTTGGTTGTGCAGCAAGGTGGCCTGGTTGTGCAGCAAGGTGACTTGGTTGGGCAGCAAGGTGACTTGGTTGGGCAGCAAGGCGACTTAGTTGTGCAGCATATAGGAGTGGTCAACAAACAACAAGGGTCCAATGTAGTGCACGATTGACCGCACCTCCCAGTGGTCTGCATAATAGGTTTCTTCGTAATCTTTGCGTACATGGACTGCGAGGACGTCTGCACCGATAAGTCGTATTTGTTCTTGGCGGCCACGTCTTTTGATATCTGTTCGTGTATGTCCGACGAACCGTCATTCTCCCGGTTAAGTTCAACGACTGAAGGTCTCGACGACAAACGCATCAATATATGATCGCTCCTTGCGCCAGCCAAAACGGTAAACAACAACAGTGTTTGAAACAAAAAACATTGCCAAAGCGATGTTGCCATTGTGGGTGTTTTAACTATAAAATAAAAATCCCATGCAATAGAAGAAAAGTTTTTGATTGTATATGACTTTTAAACAAATATTGTTATTTTTTGTAATCAACCTCCATGGTTATAAATTGATTCATGACTATCAAATAAATAAAACAAAATTTTACAAAACGATAGTTAGGCCAGCAATATTGTATTGTCAGGCATTGAATTAGGCAGACAAAAGGAAAATAAAAGTAGCTGAATTGAGGATGAAATCAAAATTAAAGGTTGGTAGAAAATTAGAGGAATAAAAGAGTGGTTAGCTTATAGTGTAATGTCCAAAAAGAATCAAAGGTAAAAAAATATCAAGAGCTATATAACAGATTAGGCACAACAAATTAATAAAAAAGGCATACAGGTTGCAAAATATATAAAAAAAACAGAGATATGGACCTTCTTAGCTAAATTTATCATGAGTTAAAGTTATTAACCCCGCGAAAACAATTTTTTTTCAGTATCACAAACATCGTAATTGTAATGTCAGTTTTGTGAATGATATGAGACTAGACAACTTGTCAGTCAGACGATTAAAAACTATTTATATTATTTTAATTTGAATCATCACCATTAGGGATTGGTTAGCGACATACTTATTGGTGCTTACTGGTAAATGGAATGGATACGACTTACGTGAAAAGTAAGAAGAAACTTTAAAATGTATATAATTAAAGAGACGCCGCGGAGAGTGTTCTCTTGCATGTACTTCAATAGGTCGTTTGGTTTGACCGATGTATGAATGACCACAGGTACACTGAAGTTCGTAGACTTCCGGTGTTTGTAGTTTCGGTAGTTCATCTTTTGGATTCCGGAAAAATCTTCCAATTTCTTCACCGTATTTTCTTGCTACTCGTGCTATGCGTTCGGTCAATCTACTTATAAAAGGAATTACCACTGTGTCTTGGATATCTTCTTCTTCCTGAATAATCCTTGTTGCGACTTGTTGTTTATTTTTACGTTCTGCGTTTCGCAGGGCCTTGTTAACTGCACTAATAGTATAACCGTTGCTGCATAACGTTTGTCTGAGGTGCTGTTTTTCTTCTTCTATATGTTCTTTATCTGCAATGCGAACAGCTCGTGTGGCCAACGTGTGGAGAATCCCCCCTTTCTGTCTTTTTTGGGGCAATGATGTGATTAAGAATTAAAGTATCGGTCTGTATGTGTTTTTTTCTGTAAAATGCTGTGCCAAAAGTACCATCCACCCATCGTTTAACACATACGTCTAGGAACGCCAGCTTGCCATTTTCTTCTTTCTCCATTGTAATTTTTATGTTCGCGTGGATATTGTTCAAGTGTTGTAAGAACTCTTCAAGCTTTTCCACTCCATGCTGCTAAATGACAAACGTGTCATCCACGTACCTTAACCATTTCTTTGATTTGTGTTTTGATGTTCAGACAGCTTCTTGTTCAAACCACTCCATAAAGATGTTTGAAAAATGTGAACTGGAAAAGGTGCTATTTTGGGATCTTGCAGCGCAAAACATCACGGCACCTTGCATTAAACGTCTGTAACTTCGAAGCAAAATCCAGGCGACATTTTTGCAGATTCGTAATCAGCATAAAAAGTACTAGGGATTAAAAAAAAACCCCAAAAAAAATAGTTTCCGTTTAAGTAGATTTTTTCTACAACTTCGGTCAACAGTATGTTTTAAAAACATTGAAGTGAAAGGGCCCTTATTTATACCTTTGTTAGGTCGCTTTGAAGATGTTTTCGACAGTGGCGGCTCGTAGAAAAATACTCAACTTATGTTGGCAGCGTTGGGCCTTCACGGTTTGTTAAGCTACATGATGATGATGAGGTGACCCCCTACTAACACTTTTAAAGTATACATACATATTCGTATTTTATAAATATATTCTGGTGACCCTACCTATTAAAATAACCTCAGGTTAGGTTCATCACTGTCTTAGATAATAACAAAAGAAATTTCGCATTAAGTAAAAAAACAGTGGTATGAATAAAATATACATTAACATATCACTTCATTAAGTGGGAAAACCAAATTAAAAAGGTTAAAATATTTTTAGATAAAACAAAAATATCTAAAATTTAGAATGGGATGGTAATTTGTAGAAAAACACTTTACGTCTTTGATTTCTGGGCAATTGCGTTTTGGGTTTCTAGGAAAATCTAGATTAGCTGATCAAACTGTGAGAGTTTATTCAAACTAAAAAAATATAAAACGGTAGTAATGTATTATCTTGATCGCTGTTAAATTTATATAGTCAGGTACATCTAAATGCAATTCAAATCATAGGATAACAATGCCATTGTAATATTTCATGTTATACATAATGAATTTTCTTATAACATTTATTAATAGGTACTATTATTATTTTTCCTTTGACGTTCGGTTTTTTTTCCGTCAGTTTTAGAAAGTCTAACTCCTGATAATTTTTTTATTTAATTATTTTCTTTATTTTAAATAAAATGTTTTATTCAAATGCTAAAAAAACTGTCATGTTAGAATTTTATTACAAGTGCGTTAAAAATACTCAAAAGGACGATGAAATGTATAGAGAAGTTTTTCCCAGTTATAGAACTCCCGGTAAAACTACATTCAGTAGATTAATGCCAGCATTACAAAAGTCTGGTTAATTTTATAACAGAGGGAACCAAAAGTGCTCAAGCGAGCAGATAAAAAGCGGATATTTTATGTTACCTAGTTGGCTAGTAAAAATATACACAGAAACTGTTTAAAAAATGTCTGGAATTTTTTAATTGCCATATTGTAGTACGTAGTCAATGAATAAAATCAAAATTTAAGTATTTAATTCTTTCAAAATTATACTTTGAGAAAACTAAAGCTGAACAACCATAATGTCACAAGAGGAAAAAAATAAAGACACGTTTATGTGAGTAGCGAACAGTTACAGTTATTGTCAAATTATATAAAATATTATAATTATATGATTTGTTAAAAAAAGGAAACATTCAACATAGTATCTATATAAAAGTTTTCAAATAACATAAAGTATTTACGGTATCAGTTGCACTTTCCACTATAAACGCGTCGTTCATTATAATTTATAATACTTTATGCAAACACTCACTATTCGCTTTAACAACCTATACCGTATACTTTATTATTCTGATTTTGAGAAGGAAAGTTGACCAAATTGAGTTTTTAAATTAAGTTATGATTTTTTAATTAAACGAATCATGTTAATAATTTTGCAGACCTATTCCCCGACCGGGTGGTCTAATAAAAATAAAAAAGGATGTTAGGGATAAAAAAAACAAGGTGCTGAAGTTCGACCAATACCAAACCATACTGAATCGGGTGGAAGACATGGAAAAAGACAAGTACCGAATAGAAAAAACCATTGCTAAAAATCCACCATTTCCCACGGTCACGCCAATAAGAAACTTGAACTTGCCGAAAATCTCTCAAGAATCTCTTTTTGATAAATGCTTGGTCGAAAACGAAGACGACGGTAATCTACGCTGACTCTATATGACTTAATTAATTTATACAAATAATAGCCATTCCTACTTATTAAATAATGTACACTTATTATGAATATTGACATGTATTATATTATTATTATTGAAATATTTAACAGGCGAAACACAATGTGAATACGAAAGGTGGTTAGAGGAAACGGCACCTGCCAAAAACGCCAACCTCATTGACAACCTGGAAGAGGCCATCAATTTTATTGTCTCATTGGCATCGAACCCTAATGCCGATGCAAAGGACTTTGACGAGATGCAAGCCATCACAGTGGTGCAGTTTCTTCGTACCATAAAATCGCCGGCCGGCCAATACGAACCAAACAACAGGCGACTGATGGAGTACATCGATAAGAAAGGCGAAGAATTTCATTCGAAAAATTAGATGCTTTATATTTTACCATACACATGTCAGAGCACATTAATACACATGTTTTATACAATTTTTATCCAGACTTGTTTATAAAATTGTTAAAAAAAGATAAATTTGAAAACAGAACAGTAGAAAATCTGGTTATATAACAAAATATATTACTACTATATGTTATGTTCCATTAAATAATATATATATACTTACCCATAACAGCTGTATTGTCATTTATTTGCATTGAAGCTTCATAGTTGTTTGCAACTTTAAATGGTGATGCAGGAGTAATAATGGTTTCAGAAGTTTTTTCTTGACCTATAATAATTAAATAAAAAACTCATAATTATCTTTTTTAAACTAATGGAAAATATAAAAAATGTAAAAGCATTTCCCTTATTAGGAAACAAATTTAATTGCAGATATTTTTTTAACTTCATGTAAGTAATTGCCAACAACAAATATTTAGTAACAGAGAACTTATACAGAGGCCTCCTCCCCGCCTTACATTCTCAACTACATGGGGTTGGCCACCTTAGTCCTCACCTCCATAGAGCTCCTCGGTCTTCTACATTTCATATATTTCATTATAAAAGAGAAGCAACTCCAATAAATGTAATAATTATAAACAATGAAAAATAGAAAACACTGAATGAATACTTGTATCCTTTTTCCTACACATATGAGTTTTCAAAAAGCTCACTGTTTCAAAATTCAATTTTAAGGATAAATAACTTGTTTAATAAACAACACATATAGTTCCTACAATTACAAATATCAACTGTAAATAAACAGATATTCTTTTAAATTTTGTCTGAAATTTATAAATACTTTGTATTAAAATAAATAACTTATACATATACTTACTTTGAACAAAAATTAGTCTTTTTTTAACATTGTCTGGGCAGCTATAACTTTCAGCTGGCTTTTGGCTAGTGTTTTGTAGTGTTACATCTGAAACACATACATTGTAAATCAAATAACAATGTATGTACACGCAGCCAATTTCAAACAGTAACACTATATTTCAATAGACAATTATTAATATTTAACGATGGACAGTAAATTTTATTTAATTGTTAAGTATATTTACGTCATTCAATTCTAATACTTTTTTACTGTTATATAGTAATTTAAATATTTAATAGGTAGGTACCTTCAATCGTATCATCATTTTTTTCAGTATTACAATTCTTAGTGATGTCCTCTAGTTGATCAACTATAAATATAAATTTAATAAATTTTGTTTTATTGTTTGAATTCACTAACTATTAATTTTGAGTAACTTACATAGACTGTCACAAGATCCTGGACTCCATAAAAATGTATCATCACTAGAATTAGGTTTTTCAATATTCTTTTTAAATTTTTTCTTGCCAGAACAGCTAGCAGACGATTCAGCTGACGATAACTCGCTTTGTACTTGAGCTCTTCTGATAGACTCTTGTGCTGCTGAGTAACTTTCTGTTAAAAAAATGTAATTATGTATATCATATACTTCACAAGTATGTATATTAAATAGTTAATTTAAATACCCAAATACTTTTTACTCACTTAATTTTTTCTCAATGACTCTCGCTACTAAATTATCAAACTCCAATTTATTTGGTCGTGTCCTCTTTTAAATATGTCTAGCACAATTGTTTCTTGGCCAAGTACATTTTTTTTCTCTGTACCAATATGAAGGAACAATTTCAATCGATTTGTCCTCTTCAAATTTAACAATTTACCACATAGTTGTTAAAACACTATACCTACAAAAAATAATCATTAAAATTTAGATATCTGGCCACATTTAAAAACTTTCTACAACAATTTTCAAAAATATTTAACACCTAATATTGTTTAATAAAATATAAAAGTACCTATTCAATTTATAACTATTTTTGTAATATGGCGACTATACAGGGTGATCCAACTAACGTAAGACACTCATTTTCTCGGGAAATATGAATATTTTGAAAAAAAATTTTTTCCTATTTTTTTAGGTATAAGTTTTACTACATTTTTCAATGCTTTGAAAATTTTTATTTTCATCCCTTATACGATAAAAAGGGTCTAAGTTCACGTTTTCAAATGGCAACATATGTTTTTAATTCCATAAATTTGTAGGCAAAAAATTTTAAAATATGTTATCGTTTGAATTATTAATTTTTATCCATCTAGTCGTTAGCTATGACTTTGTAAAGATATTACATTTTCTCTTAAATATTGTTATATTTCTTTGGTTTTCCAAAGACCGGGAGCCAATAAAATACTTATTTATGATCGCATTGTCCGATAGATGAGTACACAGATAACCAAACATAATAAAATGTTTTGTGATATTTTGTTTGACCAGCGATTCATATTTATAGATTACCGACTTTTCTAACACACCGTCATGACAGGTAGGTTGACAGACCTATATTGACAGTGGCTAACGAATGGCTATTTAACCACAACAATCAAAAACCGCGGTACAAGTAGGTTGATAACTGCTGCTATGATGATAATACAAAATATTATTATCATTAGTTATCATATTTTTCTACTATCTATGTTCTACATTCAACAAGTAACAGCACAGTACAACAGATTATTATTATGCTATTATGAAAATTATAATTTTTATTGTTTTTATAAGTAGTAAACAATAGCTTTAAAATTTGGCTTACAATCTCATAAGTGCATACATTGAATGGACAAGCGTCGCGAAGCGTTACTATTATTTGTTTAGTTATGTTCAATTTATTCAAAATATGTTCTGTGCTCAAATAATTGTTTTAAACAATATACACTAAATAAGGAATTTTCGATTTAATTTGCTTACTATTTTAATTCTACAGTAAATATTTAAAATGTTGCTTATTTTACATTTATAACTAACTTTTTTTTATTATATAAACAACTTTATTAATAAAAAATAATACAATAAAGTGGACTATTTTTAAATGATTAAGTTGTCTAAAGACTAGATATTTGTAAACAGTGATTTAAAAACCTACAACAAAATCACAGTTAAGTTTGAAATTGTATTAATTATCGACTTAATTTAAGCCGGTAGTTCCAAACTGTGATTCAAAGTACTTTTACTTTTTTTCTGTTTTCCCCATCCTGTTGGCAAAAAAGATTTGATTTTTCTGTAACTGTAAATTTCTCAACACCATTGATATTTCGTTTTTTTTAAGTCAAGTATTTCTTATCGAGATCAAGGTTAAAAAAAATGGATCAATAGTTTGTGAGTCAAATACACAAAATCACACAATGATACTCAAACTTTAAAAATAAAGTTAGGGTTTGTGTCACGCAAACATTAAATTATCAGAACTTGTCTTTTTTATTTTATTAATAACTATTAAATTAAATAGTTTCTATGTTTCTAATCTTTTCATTAGTACAGAGTACTTACTAATTATTATTATAACTTATAAGATGTATAATGTTATAACAATAGTAATTCTAAAGCTTTTATAATAAAATATGTCTGTTTCAAAAATTTCAAATTGAAAAGTTAATTCTTTTACAGTTGAATCTGCTTATTTTGATTTTATGTATAATCAGTATTTTCTTATTTTTATTATTTTCTTCACTATTTAATGTCTAGAAAATTAAAAGCTTAATAGATTTTAGTTGTTTAAAAAGAAAACCATTATTTGATATTTCCTTGTTTACTATACAAATTAAAGTATTGACATTATTAAACTATTATAACGGGTACGTTTTACTAAGATTATGTAAAAGTGGCAATATTAAATCAAAAATAGCCTTACCTAAATTGTAGTCTCTAAATTTAACAATTATTCTGTAATAAAACACATTTTTAAGGATTTAAATTTTATGGAATTTGTACGCGACAAGTTTTGTCTGATTTTATACACATACATCCATGTATACTATATTTATGTATAAATACAAATAATTATAAAATCAATTATACTAACTTATAATGCATAGTTGTTAAAAAGAAAATTTGTTTACCTTTAATGATGCAAATAATGGTTAAAAGAATATTTGCTGTAATGCGTATGTGACAATTTTCCTACTTCAAAGAGTTAAAGAACAATTTTTATTAATTTTTACTGTGTACTTTACAAAATTTAAACATTGTAAAACAATAGTAAAACAATTGTATTGATAAATTTCAATGACAAATATATAGTATAGTATAACATTTAAAGAACAATAATACTCTTGTCTGATAATATAAGTATTTAACTAATAAAATATTCATAAACTAACTATTAATACAACAATAAATTTAAAAATTACAAATGTTACTATTTTGAAAATATTCAACCAAAAATATTAAACAAAAACAATATCTATACATTTGAAATTGTTCAACTTCTATAATACTGATTTAAATTTTTTTCTTTTAACAATCGTTGGTAATTAAACAAATCTAACAAAATCAAAATTCAATAAATAAAATTAACTATAAGAATTATCTTAGGCAAGTTCAAAAAAATAATTTACTTGATTTACTGAATTCATTAAATACAAATTAATAGAATTACAACTTTTCAAAGAGAGAATTATTGTATATTAATAAATTTGATAAAAAATTTAACTTTGATAGCCAAATACCTGTGTCAGTTATAGCTAAAACTTTATGATCAAATATCCGTAATGTATGTTAAACACACAATATATGGGTTAGCTCATTGTAAGAAATAACTAAACTGAAAGCAGACATTTGAACTACCTTAGATAAGTTTAATCAAATAAAAATAATATACTTACATAGGCTCAAAATAAAATAAAAAACAATAATAGTATTATCAAGAAGTGATTCCTTGTATGTAGTAATATGAAATGCATACCTTAATTACTGATATTTTTAAAAATAAATGAAACTGGTATGTGAGTATTATCAATCCACATACCCACATACCATTTTAAGTTAATCACAACACAACACACTTTTCATTCAAATTTCTTAGTATTGATATTATACATTCACATGAAAAAATGTCACATTAGAAATAAATGTTTTATACTTATAATTTACACCTTGATACATAATTGTGAGGTCTTGG